CAAGCACCTGTTTTACCCTTGAGCGCTTCTTTTTTTCTTCTTTTCTCTTCTCAGTGCTCTCTTCCATAGTTTGTTGATTTTCAGTTTCCATTCTGTAAGTTAATGTAGAAATGTACATATTACCCTTTGATAGGAAAGGCACACCTCTTTGTTAAATATCTGAGGCCCTACACGGAAGTTGCTGTGCCTGTGGGTATTGTACACCCTCAAAGTATATGTACGATATTGAAGCATCTGTCATCTGTGCCTTCCTGCTGCCAGACATAAATGTGTTTCAGGGGCTGGAGAGTTAAGAGCAATGACTGCTCTTCCAGAGGACCCAGGTTCAATTCCCAGCACCCATATTGCGGTTAACAAATGTAACTCCAAGTTCTGACACCCTCCCAAAGACAAACATGCAGGCAAAACACCAATGTGTATGTGTGTGTGTATCTATCTATCTCTCCAAAACCCTGCATGTGTTCTTAAAAACAAATGTGTTTTAAAGTGAGAGGGAAGCAGTAGCAAGGCTTGTAGGGATTCATTCCTACCATTCCAGTGAAACCCTGATATTAGTGCTCAGCATCTGCCCCATCGCTGGGCTTCCCTGACCTCCCAGCAACTAGTACAGTCAGAAATGCATGCCTTGTAAACATTTTCTTCATACAGCTTTAAATAAGAGTTTCCCTTTTCTGGTTCCTTCTACTGTGTTTTACCTTCATATGTTGTCTATGACTAAAACTCATATCTTGGCTTCCTTTTTCAACTTATCCTTTCTGAGGGTCCTGGCTAATCAGTGTTGGGCTATTATGCTTCACAAACCACATTCTCTCATTAGTTTCACATTCCAGTAGTCAGTTGTACTTGTCTTCATTTGTTCATTACAGGATATCTTAACCTTAACATGATAAAAACAGAAGTCTAAAATTTTAACAGATTTTTACCACTTTAAAAAATACAAACTACAAGACAGTAAGAGCAGAAAATAGTTTCAATCCCTCCTACTGAAGTCAATTCATTATCAGTTGTACTGCATTGGCTTTAAAATAGAGCCTGAACATTAACTCTTCTCATTCTAATAAACCATTTGGTCCAAGTTATTCTGTCTCACTTAACTATCCAAGATCTTCCTTAATAGCCTACTTACTTCTACCACTGCTTTCTTATAATCATTTTTTTTTACAAAGGACAATCACTTAAATATGTAAATCAGGACAATTAGTACAAACCCTCCCAATGACTCACCATGGTGAGTATATACCTAAATCCCACATTAAGCATAGAGTTCAAAGACCTTACAAAGGTTTACTAGGTCCTATTCAATCTGACCTGAACATATTTCTTCAACTTTATCTTTCACAAGTCTTTTCAGCAGGCTTATAACATGTCATCCCTAAATTCCTTATGTATATTAAAGCCCTTTCTGTCTCCAGGTCTTTGTTCTTTCTGCTGTTTCTTTTCCCAGTACACCTATACAGTTTAACATTCACTCAGATCAGAGAGGCCTTTTATCCAACCTAAAGCAGTACCCTTGATGCCAATCTGAACTGTACCCCAAGCTTTTCTTCTTCTGCTCATCCCCCTCTGCAATTAAGAGTTCTGTTTCTATCTACCCCACTATAAATATATAGAGGGAGAAATTTCAAGTTGGTCATTATATATTTGTGAAGTAGTTAGATACATTTAAAAGTACTTGAGTTGGGCATGGTGGTATACACCTAAATCCCAGCACTCATGAGGTACTAGCAAGTGGACCTCTGTGAGTTTGAGGTCAGCCTGGTCTATATAATAAAAATAAGGTACCATACATTTCAAATTCTTTTCTAAGGTGGTAAGGTATAAATATAAATACAGATTACAAAAATCACATAGCAGGCTCTATAACTAACTGTTATAAGGGAAGACTTCAAACTCTACATTAACTTTTCCATTAAAGCCCATTATCTAAGGTAGTGGTTCTCAACTTGTGAGTCAAGACTTGGGGTCACATATTAGATCATTATGATTCATAACAGTACCAAAATTAGAGGTATGAAGTAGCAAGAGAATAATTTTATGGTTGGGGGCCACCACAACATGAGGAACTTGTACTAAAGGGTCAGAGAATTAAGAAGGTTGAGAACCATTAATCTCAGTCAAGCATAGTTATAGCCACACTACTCTACACCCACTAGATTTAAAGCAGAGCAGACAGAACAGTAAACACAGAATGTTACAGTTATCATTCCTCTCTTAGTGCAGAGTCCCTCCTTCCTGGTTCTATTAAGGGTTACTTTTGTAGCTTAGCATATTCCAGTTCAGAACAATCAAACACACCTTCAATTTAGAAAAAGATACAGTTAAATAAAGTGACAAAACTGTAGAACAATTTAGCCTCCTTACATCATGGCAATACCTGGGTTACAGAGTCCCCATATCTTTATCCCCCTTTGTCTGTCTTTCTCCCTGATACTGATGGTCTTCCATATCCTAGGCCAATATCCTACCACTGAACTATTTTTCAGTCCTTATTATACTCCTAATGCTATCTGTACTTTCCTGAGGTTCTATGGCAATAACATTCCAAAGGAAATTTATCCTTTCCTTCCAAGGCCTATTTGCTCTCATTACCGCTACTCACAAAGCTGATTAGGCGAGCTCTGTATGCTTTTCGAGCAAGCTTTCTCATCTCTGTGGTCCATAAAATGTGGACATAAATTTTGCCTATATAATAGTTACTGTGAAGATTAATTAAAGAAAATGCAGTTTAAGCACGTAAAATGCTGCTGTGGAGAGGTCTGCAGAGATGGCACCGTGGTTAAGAACACTCATCACTTATGAGGACACAGGTTCAGTTTCTAGCACTGACATCAAAGTTCTCAACCTCCTATAACTCTCGCTAGAGGATCCAAAGCAGTCTTCTGGCTTCTGTGGGCATGTGGTACACATGCATACATTAAGACACATATACTCATAATTAAAAAGATTCTCAAAACAAAACAAAAACAGCTGCTCTGGAGAACACAACAGGCAGCCAAGCTATTCTTTACCAATTTGTCATGGAATCCTACCAAACTGATCTTTGAAATGGCTTTCATCCTCCTTTAGTGTTCCTCACAATTGGAATTAGAATACGACAAGTTTATAACATGCTCTAGAAGTCATCTATTCTTTACAGAAGTCTATGTGTCACCTAGTCATAATATTTTGATATGGTTTGTGAAGGTTATTTCTAAGCTTGCAACATCAGTAACTCCTCATCAGGTTCTCCGTGCTGTCATAAGTATTAAAGTACTGTTAAATGGCTGATGATGGCACACAACTTTAATTCTAGAACTCAGGAGGAAGAGGTAGGCAGATGGGCGAGTTCCAAAACAGTCAGGACTACATAGAGAAACCCTGTGTGGAAAACACACACACACACCCAACACCATGGTTTTGGAACAAATAATAAAAAAATTATTGTGAAACAATGTCAGTTACTTTATATACATAGTTCTAAATCTTGACAATCCTACTATGCAGTTTCTTTCAACTTTTTAAAAGGAGGCTGTTAGGTTATGCAACTGAGTCAAAGCTAGTTAGGTAAGCAAACATTGGTATGTTTGACTTTTACACTGCTACTTTCTAGCAGAAGCTTCTACAAGTTCAAATTATAGTCTGACCCAGGAATTCTTAGTCTGAAGCTCATGACCCTTCAGGTGAATTTCAAGAAGCCTTAGGAATTCAAGAGTGGTTACAAGATAAATTTTAAAGAAAAGGCAAAATACAAATACAAAATGGACAGCAAAATTTAGTGTTACAAGTCCATTTAAAGGAGCAAAGAGCAGATCAATGCAGGAGAAAGTAGAAATGAATGCTAACAGACCCTGGTCAGCGCAGTAACTAATTACATCTTACTCGGGCAAACGTGGTTTCCATTTTTATGCTCTCCTACAAGCTACAAAGTTGAATGTCATATCTTATACTAGATGTAAAGTAAACATTTTGCTTGTAAAAGCATACACAAAATGTTTTCATGGGTACATGTAAAATTTCCAAAGAAACTTGGCCATGATACTTTTATTATTATTTTGAACAAAAAGAAGTGTGCCCAAAAGATTGAGAACCAAAGTTGTAGTCATGGCAAGACTATCCAACGCAAAAGACAGTGGCTTGCATCTTTGCTCCGAATGAACCTTCTCGTGTAAACACGCTTTCTAAAGCCATTCGATTTCCCACTAAAGGTAGCCTTCTTGAGGCCTTCCAGTCTCCGTGAACTGTCCACTCATAATTCCCCTAGTTCCTCCTAAGCGCGCAGGGAACTTAACACTCATCTCTTAAAGCCAGCTCTTTAAAACGGACTTTCCTATAGAGACTAAAAGACCGGAAGTCTTGACAAAGAAAAGACTCAATTTTAGAATACAAGTCCTCACAACTGCTATGTTGTGGGAGCCAAAGCTCAACCCCAAGCTGCCTAGCGCCCAGAGCTTCGCTCAGCCACTGGACAGCCCCCAAGTAGCCGGGCGTGCCCCAAACCTCCCAAGACTGAGCTCGGCCCGCCCCCTCCGTCCCGGGATGGGAACTGCAAGCGGCGCTGGAGCACTGCGCGTGCGCACCGAGCAGCCGAACCAACGGACTAGGGGCGAGGGGGGCGGGGTGAAGTGGACCACAGCGGGTGGGCTAGACCGCAGGAGACCGGACGCCGAGTGTACACCTCACCGCGTCCGAGTGGCACTACCAGCCATCTGTGACTTACTCTGGTCACGTTCCCAAAGCCACGGGTCAGCGACTGCCTCCTTCCACGCTTTCCGCCTCCCGATCCTTCGGGTCGGCTTAAATTCGCGTCATCCGACGAGCGACGCGCTACCCTCAGCCCTCTGTGGGAAGCGGCATCCGAGCAGGGACTTCCGTCGTGACGTCATGGGTGACGCCCCCTCGGGGGCGGGATCTGGCGGGAGAGCTAGGCGGTGACCGCTCTCCTATGAGGAATTCCATTGGTGCTTTGCGGGCGGCGCCGGGCGGGTGGGCGGGACCCTCAGAGGTTCGTCCCTGGCTGATGACGTAGCGTGAGTTCGCGGGAGAAATTCGAAAGTGGGTTCTGTGTTCCTGAGGAGGTGAAGTGAAGACTCTTTTCTAGGGAATGGAGGGTGGAGAGGCCGGGCGACTTGGCACGGCTGGGAGAGCTTGGACCCTGACTCGTCCCCACGGGAGCCGCCCACGGGGCGCCGTTGAATGCCGGGTGAGGCGGTCACTATCGAGTCCCAGCCTGGTCATGGTTGTCTTAGGGGCTGATATAGAACCAAGGCTCCTTTGTTATTTAGGGACACAAAATTCTGATCAGTCCAAAATTCGGCAAGTGAAAGTAATGTTTCTTGCAGTTATTTGTCCTGGTGGTGTCTTAACAGGATGCTTCGTGGTTTGAGCGGTGCCGGGGAGCGAACCTGGGACTTCGGGCTAGCTCGGGTGCTCTCTCATTGAACTGCTGTAGCAGCTTTTCTCAGAAAGCAAGGTCGTGGCACGGCTTCCCACTGCCTTCACGGAAAGCTCTCCCTCTCGGCCTAACAGAATAAGGTTGCGTACATCCAATTACTGATGACTCCAGCCTTGACGCTCACTCAACTCTCCCTCGAATGCTTCTTTAGGGATCAGGCTTCTGCGCATTCTGTTTCCGGGTTGGGCGTCACCATCACTGAAGAAGCCTTGTTAGGAGCCGTTTGTTGAGCTCCAGAACCGAACTTTCTAATTCAGTAGGCAAGAATAGGACCTGAAATGTTCATTACTGCCTAGTTTTCCTGTAGTGGTCAGGTCATGGCCACGGAAGCACTTGAAGATATGTACTCATTTGTGTGCTTCTTTGGCATCTCTATTCAATTCACCATCGATAATTTCAGATTTCAAAATTTGGCCATATATATTTTTATCCAATAACAGGATAGTTACAGTAGCTGCTGCAACACTGTTCAAAAGAGTTTTCTTCCTCAGCATGGTGGCCTGCTGCCTGTAATATATACCAGCTACTCCAAAGGCCGAGATGGGAGACTTGTGCAACTTGGACAGGTCCTGTCTCAAGCAAACAGAAAGAACTGGGCATGTGGAAGCATTAGTACTTAGCTTACATAGGGCCCTGTTGTCAGCTCCTAGAGGTGGGGAAAGAAAGGAAAGATGTTTCCTTGCAGAGGTATTATAATAATGCGTGTTTGGTCCTATGGTGGGTTATGTTGACTAAGGTATAAGTCAGCCCTCTGTAACTGGATCCAGCCAGCTGTGGATTGGAAATATTCAGAAAAAAATTGTCCGTATTGAACATGCAGATTTTTTTGTTACAATTTCCTCCTTTTTTAGACAGGGTCTCTCATCTATGTACTCCAGGCTGTCCTGGAGCTGTCTATGTAGACCAAGTTACCAGGCTTGCCTTGAACTCACAGAGACCCATTTGACTCTGCTGCTCCTGCGCTGGAATCAAAGATGTGTACTAGACAGCACGTGGGAGGCAGAGGCAAGCGGATCTCTTGAGTTCTAGGCCAGCCTGGTCTACAGAGCTATTTCTAGGACAGCCAAAGCTACACAGGGAGACTCTATCTCAAAAAACAAAACAAAACAAAATCCCAAAAAAGTACACAAAAAGGTGCATGGCACCAAGCCTGCCTGCTTTCCTTCCTTCTTCATTTCCTTTCCTTCCTTCCCTCCCTCCCCTCTCTCTATCTCTCTCTTTGAGACAGATTTCTCTGTGCAACAACCCTAGCTATCATTTCTTAAACAATACAGTTTAATCATTCACTGTTTACATATCGCGTACAATGCATTAGGTATGAGTAATCTAGAGATAGTTTCATGTATGTTGGAGAATATGCACCTACTCCTATATTATATACAAAAAACTGTGACATTCTATATGTCAACTCATGTAGCCCCAGATGTTGGTTATTTGTGGTCCTGAAACTAGCTCCTGGATACTAAGGAACTATTTGAACAGGAAAAATGTAAGACACAAGGGGGCCATCTTGTGGTGAGTTTAATTCTTTAGAAAAATAATTGAATTTGAGTTCCAAGGAGCAAAACATTATTGAAGGAAAAAAAAATTCACTTTCTGATACATACTAAGGTACCTAGAGAGATGTTTACAGATTATTAGTAAATGTAGTAGTTTCATCTTCATTTTCATCTTCCATTACTCAGTTGTGTCCTCTACGACAGGTACACTTTTTTCGCTTGGTGGCTAGATAGACTGATAGTCTTTGGTTTCTATCTCTAATCAAGATTTATTGAGAGTCTTTGTATTTGATACTTATTCTTTTTGTCAGGGCTGATTGACCATTCTTTGCTGTTTTTCTTTTTAGAGGTTATAAATTGTTGAGTAAAAACTGATTGCTTTCTGGACCTGACTGGTTTATAATTTCAGAAGGAACAATGGAAAGTCAAGAGTTTATTGTAAGTCTTAATAATTTTTTTTTTTTTTTTTGTGGGGAGAGGGATGGGGGACAGGACTCGTGTATCCCAGGCTGGCCTCAAACTCTTGATGAAGTTTGATGAAGTATTATTGAATATTTTTTGGGGAATCAGGAAACAACATTTTTCGCTTTAAGACCTGCCAATGGTGACATTCCTGCCTATAGTGACACATTATTTGGTCTTAAAACCTTTTTGTACTCAGACAATATCGAAAATAGCTAGATTTTCATACTTGTTTCTCTATTCAGTCTGTGATTGAATCTGGCACCGTATATAATGCTTGGAAACTCTATTCTTTCACTAATAGAGGGGGAATCTAAAGGCAAAAGCAGTGTGAAATCCTTCTGTCCTCAGGTGCTGTGAAGGCTGGGTAGACTTTCCAGAGTCTTTGGACTGTGTTCAGAGAGCTACGTGAATAAGGAATGTGTAACCCAATAATTGTTTTTCCTTCCCTCTGATGATGAGGCAGTTTAAAATTACTTTTGATGCTCAGTTAACTAAAAGACTCTTTAGGCCTTTACTTGCCCTTTCTTCCTTTGCCTTTTGGTTCTACCTGCCTAGTCAGCTGTCTTCCTTTCCTTAAAATTGTTTGTTTCCTTTTTTTACATTGAGGGTTAAACTCAGGGCATCTCGATGCTGAGGATGCGCTCTGTCACTGAGCTCCACCTCCAGACTCTTTCACTGACTTTGTTATTGTGGTGATGCCTGTGCTATTATTTTGATATGGGATGTTTTATTTTTCTATGGCCTGTAAACTGTAATATTAAATGTGTAAATAGCAATGATTTTTTCTGTACTTTTGGAAATAAGGTCCTATATACTCATCAAAAGATGAAGAAGTCAAAAGTGTGGCAAGATGGCGTTCTGAAGATCACTCACTTAGGCAACAAGGTGAGTGCCAAGCAGTTGACTGTGGCGTGTAACAGCTGTGTTCTTGCCTTTTGATTGCGCATTAGGATAACTCTGTTGATAATAAGATGTCAGTTATGGCCGTAAATTGCCATGGCGTGAAAAAGAAATGTTCAGATCATTTTCTTATGTTCTTTATATATTATGAAAGTTCAGTAGTAAGCATTACTCAGTCTGTTTTGAGTAGAGAGGCTTACGATGAGCGGTCATAAAGCTTTCAGTCTACCAGTTTAATTTGTGCCACTCCCCTACCAGTTAGGCGTTTAGTCTTTAACCGATGGTCAGACTGGGGAGCACAGGTACATCTTACCCAGGAGTCCCAGCTGAAAGTGCAAGAGTCATTCATGAATTTAGATATGGCTCCAGGGCCTGTTTCGAGGTAAGTCCCCCCCCCCAACCCTCCACTCCCCAAGGCAGGATTTCTCAGTGTAGCACTGGCTGTTCTGGAACTTGCTCTGTTTACCAGCCTGGCCTCAAACTCAGAGATGCCCTGGCTCTGCCTCCTGAGTGCTGGGATTAAAGGCATTTGCCACAACGCTGCTCTAGCCAAGTCTTTTATTTTTTTTTAAAAATGTATTTATTTATTATGTTATTCAGTGTTCTGTCTGCATGTATCCCTGCAGGCCAGAATTGGGCACCAGATCTCATTACAGACGGTTGTGAGCCACCATATGGTTGCTGGGAATTGAACTCAGGACCTCTGGAAGAGCAGCCATGCACTTAACCTTTGAGCCATCTCTTCAGCCCCTTAGCTAAGTCTTTTTTTAATATTAACCTATTACAGAAACTTGGTTGTGAGTTGATGATATCATGTACATACTAATGACAGTGATGGCGTCCTGATCAAGCACATGGTTTTAAGTGATGCTATTTAGGCCCTTCACATTCTATCTGTATTCTGGTTCTGTCATTGTAAGTCAGTGCTTCTAAACCTTCTGAATGCTGGGACTCGTTAATACAGTTCTTCTTGTTGTTATGGCCCCAACCGTAAAATTATTTTTGTTCCTACTTTATAACTGTAATTTTGTTACTGTTATTAATTGTAAATATTTTTGGAGATAGAGATTTGTTAAAGGGGTTGTTAACCCATAGGTTGAGAACCACTGTTGTAAAACTATCACTTACAGAAGCTTTTCAATAGGGAAGAGGTTATTTATCGTATTTTTAAAAAACATATTTGATTTGTTAAAATAAAAACTAGCTTAGCAGTCTGGAGAAATGGCTCAGTGGTTAAGAGCACTAACTGTTCTTCCAGAGAGCCTGGGTTCAATTCCCAGCATCCACTTGGCAGCCCACAGCTGTCTGTAACTCCTGTTCAGGGGATCCAACACCTTCACACAGACATACATGCGAGCAAAATACAGATGCACATAAAACAAGTAAATAAATTATTTAAAAAATTAGCTTTGACTTAAGCCTGCAAGTGCAGTGTATGCCAGCACACAAATATATGCACACACACACACACGCACACACACACATTTGTTTTTGAGGTAGAGTGATGTGGGATTTTCCTCTGTATGCTGTGAATATTATTGGTTAATAAAGGAACTGCTTTGGGCCTATAGAAGAGCTATAGGGGAACAGAGCCAGGTGGGGAAAACTAAATGGAATGCTGGAGAAAAGGAGGAAGAGTCAGAGAGAAGCCATGAAGCTGCTGGAGACAGATGCTCTGAAACTTTGCTAGTAGGCCACGACCTTATGGTGATGCACAGATTAATGGAGATGGGTTAAATTAAGATGTAAGAGTTAGCCAGTAAGAAGCTAGAGCTAATGGGCCAAGCAGTGATCTAAATAATATGATTTCTGTGTGATTATTTTGGGGCTGAGCAGCCAGAAACCAACAAGCGGCCTCCTCTTCCTCCAATAGAGTCTTAGGATGTAGAGGAGGCTGGCCTTGAACTCAGAGAGATCCACCTGCCTCTGCTGAGTCTTAGGATATAGAGCAGGCTGGCCTTGAACTCACAGAGATCCACCTGCCTCTGCCTCCCAAGTGCTGGATTACATGCATGAACCACCATACCTGCTTTTATTTATTTATATGTTTATTTTGTATATTTATAAAGAAGACATTGGAGTTGTTGTTACAGGCTGTTGTTGTTACAGTTTTGTTGTTGTTGAGAGTCATTGGACATGAGTGCTGGGTACAAAACTCAAGCCATCTGGAAGCAGGTGTTCTTAACCAATGAACCATCTCTTTAGTCCCTGATTTCATTTTTTATTGGCCCCATTCACTGCATTCTAATTCTATTTTGTTCCCAATTTCATTCAAGGATCTTTCTGGTAGGAATTATGTTTTTTATTTCTCTCTCTCTTTTTTTTAAGGTTGTTAGGAGTATATATACTTCTTGAATGTGTAGAAGCTAGAAAATCCACATTGGATGTCCCCTTCCACCTTATCTTTTGAGACAGGGTCTTTCACTGAAATTAGAGCTAGCTCACCAATTCCTGGACTGGCTTCCTGTCTCCCCGTCTCCCTCACCTCTTCTAGGGATGTAGGTCATACCACCATGACAGACTTTTACGTGCTGAGAACTGATTTTGGGTCCCTTTGCTTGTCAAAAACTGCATTACTGAGCTATTCCCCTGTGCCTGAGTGTCTATTCCTAGGCTCTCATGCTCATTGGATGTAGTAACATTTGAAATAGATGTACTTTCAAATTCAAGTTATAGAATGTACATAATTCTTTTATTACATGATATACTTATATCATAAATTTTGATTTGCTATTGAAGATACTTAAGAAATGAAAAGGAAAAAATTGTAACTTTTTTCTTGTTTTATAACAGGCAATTCTGTATGATGACAAAGGAGCATGTTTGGAAAGTCTATTTCTTAAGAGCCTTGAGGTATTTTAATGTGTTTACTTTCCTTGAAATTTAAAAATTTACTTAGATACTTTTTTATGAATGTTGTTAATGGCTTAGTTATAGTACTAAAGCTGATAATTATAGCCTGTATTATTGTTCATTTATTATAGTTGTACCTTGTGCCAACAGCTTTTAGTTATTTCATTTTAATTTTTTTGACAATGTTATGATGTGTTTACATTAGGAATACAGCACAGAAAGGTTTAGTAGCTGTTTATGCTCATAGAGTGCTGGTTGCAGGACATATCAAACCCAGGTTGTGATTCTAGAATCTATTAGGTGAGGTTTTGTTGTGTTGGGATGGGACGAAAGACTTCATGCACATGAAGTAGTGTGTTCCACTATCTGTCATTAGCCTTCATGGTGGTTGATAATCTTTGAAATTATTCCCATTTAAACACTTTCTCAAAAAAAAAATTACATTACACACATAATATATTCAGTGTTTTCCTTGTGTTTGAAGAAGGAAAGGAATTGCAAGCATTAGAACTGCTTTTGTCTCCTTTCAGACTATAAAACACCTTTTATGCAGCCCGTGACCTGTGTCCACGTCTCAGCTAGAAACATAGATCAGCGTTGTTTTGAAGATTAGAAATTACCTATTATAATGTCATGTGTTAAAATTCATACTGTTAACATTACTTTGTGGCTATTTGGCCATGAAATCTTACATCATTAATAGAGGTTGTTCCTTTAGATTTATGAAAAGAGGGTCAAGGGGAGACATTTTCTTGGTAGGTGCTTAATTAATGTAACTACTGTTATTTTTATTCTACGTAGTTTCATTACTAAATGTTTAATATGATAAAGATATATTTTCTAAGCTGATAATCTTAATGTTTTACTCTAGAGTTGGTGACTAATAAAATGACTAAAAAAATACTCTTTTTTTTCCAAGGCAAGTGGTTATGTATGTAACTAACCTTAATAGTATTTGTGATAATTGTGAAGCTCTGCTTCACATACATTTGTAAGGATACAGAGTTGATAACTAATGACTTTGACTTTTTTAAATATTGCATTTAGTTGTGTGGACTCTAAGTGAGTTATGTGAAAGGAAGCTTTCCGCTGTCTTGGTGACAAAGGGCCTCTGCAGCACCACAGAATGAATGGCTGAAGAACAAATTAGCAATGCTTTTATTGCATTATTATCATTTTTGTATTTTTGATGGTTAATTGGCATGTAATAATGAATAGTTGAAGGATTTAGTTACTGACTGATTTCTTTAGCAACTAGGTTGAATATTTGTTGGATCTTGTTCATTGCTAGTGAGGAAAATAAAACGACCCAAATGCAATTTTGATGTTTATTTTTTAAAATGTAGGTGAAACCTGGCGATGACTTGGAAAGTGAGCGTTTCTTAATCACAGTTGAGGAGGCAAAGGCTGCTGGAAGTAGAGGTGTTAAATTGGGCGGCCCTAGAGAAGTTCTGGAGTCAGGTCCAAGGACATTCATATCCTCCAGCCGGTCTCTTGGGTGTCAGCCCTCTGGCTTAAAAAGGAAGGCTACTGTAAGTTTCTGTGTGAACACTAATATTTCAATGTATAGTTAAAAAGTTATTTTTGAAACTGGTAAATTTTTATGATGGTTTGCTGGTAAAATGGTACCTCATAGTTTATTTAAGTGACACGACAGTAGATCCAAATTAGGAAAGTCTTACTAATGAATGTTTATATTTTAATTCAGCAAAAATTTAAATACTATTTACCTTGGGCAAAATATACGTATCTGTTACTCTTTTTAGCAAATTTATTTTACATTTTCCTTAGAAATAATGGTATCATTAACGATTGTTTTAATGTCTTTAGGGTTTTCAAATACCATATAAGGTACCAAAGAAAGTGACTGTTACAGAAAATGGTGAATCCACTGCCTCATTTGATGATTTGAACCCTGGCTCGACGCTTCCTCCCCCGTTCTCTAGCACACTTCCTTTGTTTTCTACTGTTGGTGAGAAAGATATAAATTATACACTGGCAGTCAATGAGAATACCTTGAGGAACAGAGAGAGAAGCGACAGGCCTTTCTCCCTTGTGTCTTCACCCTTCAGTGTTAACTCAGACATACTAAAGAGAGAGGACAAGCTTTGCTCCCCTGTCACCTCTGCAACCCAGCATTCAGATGCTTTACTGGGCAGTGAGCCCACGAGAAGTAATAGCTTGGAATCTCACTGTCCTGGAGTTTCACAAAACCTCAGGAGCAAAGCACAAATATTAGCTCTTCTGAAGTCTAAATCAGCCAACATGAGTAAGAATCTGATTTGTGAGATTACAGGACCTTTTCCTAAGATACACCCACAGGGGTGCTCCAAAACCACTTCTAAGCTAGAGGAAGAGTGTGCTGAGAGAAAGAGCTCAGCGAATTTACTCTGTGAGCTACAGGCAGAAAACCCCACAAGAGCTACAAGCCGGTGGAGCATGTATTTACCCTCCCAGAGATCGCCTCCCTGTTCTCCGAGAGATGAGAATGATACAGAGGACAAACCTGAAGCCCAAGAGGATGTGAACATTTTTAATTTGTCTGAACTTTTGGTGGAAAAAAAGGCAGAGCTCTTTGAAACATGTGCCAAAAAGGGAGAACTGTACAATGAAGACAAGCCAGTAGACAATAGTTGCCAGAGCTGGAATCACAAGGAAAACTTAGGTGCGCCTCTGTTCTGTGAGAACAACAACTTACTGGTTAACTGTAGTAGTAAAGAAAATGTTGATTTATTATCAGAACCTGACATTCACAACAATAACAAAGTAACTTCTAATCAAAATGACAAGGAGTGTACGGAAGCTTTGCTTTGCACTAGAGAAAGTATTCTGGTGGCAGATGCAGATGCCACACTGGAACAAGAGTGTATGTCCTGTTCATCACCATTGCCAGAAGTAGAACATAAACACATTGAAGTCGAATCTTCTCTAAGTAAGAACTCTAGCATCTCTGATGACATTGCAGACGTGGAATCTAAAAGTGATGCTGATAGAGGAAGTCTGGATACTATTCATAAATCTTCACAACCTTTTCTGGAAGTTTCTTTTAATCTGAGCAATTTTGAGGACAGTGACACTGATGAAGCATCACAAGAGGACGACAAACTTTCCCAGGACTCAGAGAGTAGAGAAAAGGAAATTTTGCCTACAGATGATTCATGTGTTCTCAAGAGCTATGGGGATATAGGCTGCCAAGAAACTGCCTGGCAACCCTTGCCATTCCCATCCTCTGCCAGTGGCAAGCCTAAAGACATCCTTCCTGCTAACGAGACGCTGCTGTCAGAGTTTTGTGATAGAACCTGTGTTGGTTTTTACACAGGACCTCACGAAGATGCAAACCCTAGAGAAGCAGTGCCAGAGTGGGGTGGTGACACAGGGAGCAGTCTGGACTCATCGCAGGAGTGGAATGAGGATGTGCCAGGAGATAGCAAAGAAGATGGTAATAAATCTATCCAAAGAGATGGGACTAATTATGGTATTGTTTCACCTTCAAATACACCCAAAGGTATAAATACACGTTCACATATTCCTTATTTTTTAAACACAGTCACTACTCCGTCTCCTGAAAACAGTGACCTGTTCTCAGAAGGTACCCAGCCTCAACCTTTTATTTTGGGAAGTCACGTAGGTCATGAGCAGCTTTTATCACCAGTCTCTACCAGTGGCGTTAGTATCCAGCTATTGAAAACCACTCAGCATCAATCTGAATGTTGTGAATTAGATGAATCCAACACCCAGGTTTCTAGTTCTTTATTTTACCCGGTAAGAACAGAATATCCTATTTACAAAGACACTGAAGCATACATTCCTGAATCTGAAGATTTAGGGAGGAATAGAAGTTTGTCATGTGATTGTTTTGAAGTGGAAACTACACAGAGAGGCAGACAATCCTCTACTTCTGGAAATTCTTCAGAACTTTCTGAAGTAATAAACAATATGTCTCTTTTAAAGTCACTGTCTGAGCATGGCACAACTTTAGGAAGCTTGGCAATACTGAAGGAAAATCATGCCTCCCAACAGGAAGGTCGGCACATACAAGACCCAGATGTCAGTCCTGAAGGTTAGCGTCACCTGTCTTATTTTGGTTGTTCCCTTTGTAGCTCAGAAAAAGGGAAGATACTGGTAGTCTGCTGTATTAGAGATTTATATATGTGGTGGCTGAGCATGGTGGCTTATTCCTGTAATCTCAGCACTTGGAAGGCAAGGCAATAAATATCAAGGGAATTCAAAGTTCTCTTCAACTAGAGTGGGTTTGAGGCCAGTCTGCTACGTAGGACCATCTCTCAACAGTTGGGGTCGGGGATTACAGAGTGTAACCTGTATGTTTGGTAATGACAACTTTAATAGAGGATAATATAGTGATGACTGAGTCTCCTTCCTTTCACAGTTCCCCGGTCTACTTAACATCAACCAGTCTCTAGGGCATCCTTCCTGAAATGCCCATGCATATGCAGAACACGCCGATAGGAATAAGCAAGGATATGGCCAGATTAAGCATACTAATCAAAAACCGTGGTACTTTCCCTTTACATGTTTATACCCTGACCCTAAGCCTGTGGTACAAGAGTGTCCTCTGCTCCATTCTGTAATGTTTCTTTACTCCCACAGTATGAAAGGGCCCTGACTCAGTATGTTTTACTCCCTAAATTCTATAGTGCATACCCGATAGTTGCCAAATTATCAAAACAATGTTACTGTCAGAAAAAGAAAAAAACTTAGCAATTTTGTAAAGTTCACAAGTCCTTTGGGAGTCACATTTTAGCAAGTGAAGTTGAGCCTCTCTTAGATTTCATAATGATCCTGCCATTTTTATGAGCTCTCCTTCCCTTTATCAGTTTTTCAAATGGGTATTGGTCTTTATTATTGATTTATAAGGAATTTTTATGTATTGGCAATATTAATCCTTTATGATAGCTGTTACGTGTGTGTGTGGTTTTTTTTTTGTTTTTTTTTTTTTTTTTTTTGTGGGTTGGTTGGTCTTTATAGACAGAGTTTTTGTGTAGCCCTGGCTGTCCTAGAACTTGCTCTGTAAACCAGCTTCGAACTCAGAGATCTGCCTGTCTCTGCCCCCTGAGTGCTGGGTGTCACCACCCAGTTTATGTGTGTGTGGTTTGATTTTTTTTTTTTAAAGATTTATTTATGGGGGCTGGAGAGATGGCTCAGTGGCTAAGAGCATTGCCTGCTCTTCCAAAGGTCCTGAATTCAATTCCCACCAACCACATGGTGGCTCACAACCATCTGTAATGAGGTCTTGTGCCCTCTTCTGGCCTGCAGGCATACATGTAGACAGAATATTGTATACATAACAAATAGATAAATATTTTAAAAAAGATTTATTTCTGTATGCGTGCTCTATCTGCATGTATGACTTTATGCCAGAGGACGGCATCAGATCCCACTATAAATGGTTGTGAGCCTTCATGTGGCTGCTGGAAATAGAACTGAAGACCTCTGGAAGAGCAGCCAATGTTCTTAACCACTGAGCCATCTGTCCAGCTTCAATGTGTGTATGTTTTAAGACAGCATCTTGTTGCATAGCTCTGACTGATCTGTAATACATGACAGTAAATGAACAACACTCTGTGATACCCAATGTTAAAATTAAATCTTATTTTATTTTTCTTTGGTTTTTCAGACAGTATTTTTCTGTGTAGTACTGGCTGTTCTGGAACTCACTCTGTGGGCCATGCTGGCCTCAAAGTCAGAGATCCACCTGCCTCTGCGGGAGTTAAAGACTTATGCCACTACCACCCTACTTTAATTTTAAATTTTTGTTCATATATGTTAGGTCATTTTTACTAAAAGTATGAGAAAATTACCATACATTCTGAAATTCTTTGAAATGCTAAATTTGATAGTAGTTGCAGTTTATTTTCTAAAAAATTTACTATAAAATTAAAATCAACATGAATAGATATAACTGATCTATAAACTGAAACAAGCATAGCACTGTAATATGAAGATTTGGGAAATGCGGTATTTGAGAACATTCTTTCGTCCATTTGGAAGACAAGATTGTTGTTGCTTCATGTTAGTTGAGGTCATTGTATTCTGTGTTTAACTTAAACACCAAACTTTGAATCACTGGTCACACAGTACATGCAAGGTTGGCTTTCTGCATATCTCTGGCCGGAACATTTTTATCTACTCAACATGTAATTATGTCTTTATTTAAACACTACTTTATTTAACTTTTTTGATGATTTATTAACATTGAACTCATTGCCGACAGCGTTATGAGTTGTGCATGACCAAAACAATCCATACATATTTTCTCTGCAGCAGACACACTTAAGAACAATAGATAGTGAACCAGACGGTATAATGGTGCAGCCTTTAATTCCAGCACTTGAGAGGCAGAGGCAGGTGGATCTCTGAGTTTGAGGTCAGCCTGGTCTACTGAGCTAGTTCCAGGACAGGCTCCAAAGCACAGAGAAACCCCGCCTCGAGAAACCAAAATAAACAAACAAATAAATAAAACAAGGAGCGCTATGTAGCACTAACTCTAGGGGACTTTAAAATAGTGAAATCATCAATAAAAACAGATATACGAGGATTTTGGTACTAAATATACTGAAAACATATTTCTGAGTGTAGTATAAAGTGAGGTTGAGTGTTGTCTTGTTGGGAGTGTGCTCATGCTATGCTGCTGGTCGGCCACCTTGTCAGTCTTATGCTCTGCTTTCTTTTTCACACCTTCTGACGTGTAGCTTAGCCTTGCTGTAGGTCTCAGTAGCACATCATTTTTCTGTATGACATCCTTTCCTATCATACTCTGAGTTTGGTTTAACTGTGTGGCTGTCTTCTTTGTTGTTCCCTTTTCATTACTACTGTGTTCCTCAGTGCTGCCCGGGCATTTCAGTACCTGCCTTAATTCCAACACTGCATGGCAGATTTCTGCTCTAAATAGTGGTTTGCAGGCCAGCAAATATAGCAAAGTTCCCAAGCTATAGTCAGATGGATTTGAGATAGGTTTGACTAGACTGGTGCCCCTCTTGTCCCACTGTGGTTGTGCATACAATAGTGTTAATTTTAGTTTTCTTAGTTTTCTTGTTCTTAACAATTGGGCAGTTCTCAACAATTTTTAACATTTGTAATATAGGTGATAAATATATTCTGTTGACTTAGAATATATTATTTTTTAAATTAGGTGCCAAAAAAGTTGCAAGAACCTATCCCCACTAAGACATAGTAACCAGTAAGGGAACTGGAGAGATGGCTCAGCAGCTTCAAAGAACTTGCTGCTCTCGCAGAGGATCCAGATCTGGTTCCCAACATCCTCTCTGACCTCTGTAGGCACCCAACATGCACATTGCACACTATATGCCCACAGACAAATACTCCTGCAAAATAAAGAAATTTATTTATTTATTTGAGCCAGGGTCTCTCTATGTAGCCCTGACTGTCCCGGAACTCACTGTAAACAAGGCTGACCTTGAACCTACAATCTGTCTACTTTTGCTTGCTGAGTACTGAGTACTGGGATTAAAGGCAGTGGCCACACATGGTCTTAATTTTTTTAAAGTAATCAATAAGGTTTTCAACTTAAATATTTTGAATTTTTTGCCTTAAGAATGTACCAGTCTATATAGAATAGTACCCTGAATCTTTACTCATACTCCAGATTAAACCATTAACAAGACATTCCTTTTTAAAATGTGTTATTTCAGTTTTAGAAGTAAATAGTTTTGGAAACATTGTGATCCATATGATGAATAAGGCTGTTTAATTTTTCCATCCTAGCCAGGAACTTACCTGCCACAGTAGTTTCTCATATGCTAGAGCGTCCTCTTGAGCAATGGACTTCTCAGCAGGTACATTTCTTTCTCTCTCTCTCTAAACTACTATGTGTTTCTTTGATAGAAAATAACGATATTGCCGTAACTGTATAGTATATACTTTGGTCATACTTTGCCACCTCTTATGCCCCCTTCCTAGTATTTATGCGTCTCTTACCATATAGTTGATAAGAGCTTCCTTAGTTAGGGTTGTTACTGCTATGATGAAACACCATGACAAAAAACAAAAAGGAAAGAAACGGAGGGGAGAAAGGGACTTATTTGGTTTATACTTCTACATCATAGTTCTTCATTGAAGAAAGTTGGGACAGGAACTCAAACCGGGCAGGAGCTGATGCAGAGGCCATGGAGCAGTGCTGCTTACTGGCTTGTTCCCCTCGACAATGCTCTTGCTTTCTTATAGAACTCAGGACCATCAAGCCCAAAGGTGGCACCACCCACAATAGGCTGGACCCTTCATCAATTACTAGTTAAGAAATGCCCTACAAGCTCTTCTGTAGTTCAGTCTTACAGAGGCATTTTCTCAATTGAGGCTCCTTCCTCTCTGATGACTCTAGCTTGTATGAAGTTAATGTAAAACTAGCCTATAGCATAACTGATCCCTACTCAGCTTGACACATGAACACATTGCTGCTAAGCTATAACCTTCCTTTCTTGTTAATTCCCAAGATCATATATTAATATAAAAACCACAATATAAAACATTTTAAAAACTTAAAGTTTCATAGTCTTTTCAAAGTGAAACACTTTATAATCAATCTCTTTAAACAATCCAAAATCTCTTAAAATACAGAATTCCCTTAAAAATTTAAAGTTTTTAAAGCATGGGCTCCTGTGAAACCAATAAAAAGTTAAATACTTACTTCAAGAGGGAAGAACCAGAGCACAGTCACAATCAAAGCATAGCAAAACAACAGTGTAAGTAATTCAGCGTCTAATATCTGGGACCACTTCTCAGGCTCCACTCTGCAGCTCATACAGCTTGTCCTCTGGGCTCACGTTGGCTTCACTTACACTTGCTACTGTTCCTGGGGCTCATCCCATGGTACTGGCATCTCCAAAGAGTAGTTGCCAGCAACTGGCAAAAAGTTACAACAACTGGGTTGCACTTTCATCAGTAGCCTCTCTCTCTTCTCTGCATGACCCCTTTAATCCTGGGCCTTCAACTGCTACTGAGGATCCACCTTCACCAGTGGTCTCTCTTGGCCTCACAGTGCCAGGCCTCAGTGCGTCATGCCTTCACAACTAGTACCACGGGTGATTCTTACACTACCAAGTTCAGCTGCCAGCACAAGTTACAACTTTGGCCCACTTCTGGAGCACAGCTGTGTGCTGACTCTGAGGAACCACTTCCCAGAAGATTTCACCTCAGTGGTGTTGGTCAGATGTTTTAAGCACAGCTGATTCTTCAGCAGCACCAGCTGACCAGCATCCATTGTCCCAGCAAAGCAAGGGTTTACTTTAGTGGTTCCGGTCTCTTGGTGATCGCAGCTCCAGCTGACCAAGCACCACAGATTCTTCACACATCTGAAACTTCACAAGCGAAGTCTCCACTGCCTACACTGCTCTCAACATTCTTACTTTCCAAGCTCCTTTAGAGCAGCCTACTGAGGTTTGAACACTCAATGGCTTTTCCAGTCCAAAGTTCCAAAGTCCTTTCACTGTCCTCCCCAAAACACAGTAGACTGGGTCGGTCGTTACTCATCAATTACTAAGAAAATGTTTACAAGCTTGTTTACAGTCCAGTCTTGTGGATGCATTTTCTTAATTGAGGCTCCCTCCTCTTTGATGACTCTAGCAGGTATCAAGTTGATATAAAACTAGCCAGCATAAGAATGCTCTGTAATTTATACTAGAATTGTAGCAGGACACAAGGTCCCAAACTCTCTGGATTCATGACTCTCCTCACAATTAAGTAATTTTTTTAAACAATGTTTCTTGTCCCAAAGAAATGCCTGACAGTCCGTTTGTTGAATGCTAGCATTGAATGGTAAGTATGCCTGTCTTAGTAACTTAGCAATTCATCCCAGGTGAGCACGACTTGAAATGCAGTGTATGCTGCCCATCAGGTACTATACAGCATTTTTCTCATCTGAAGCTCTGTGAAAAAAAGCATATAAGTTTGATTGTCCTTTCAAATGATATTTAGGATATTTATTCCTAAGTAATAGTAGATTCAGAGTGTCTATAGTTACTGTTTTGTTAATTCATCCACTCATTAGAAATAATTTATTTAAGGACATTCTTTTGGCCCTTTTAGCTCTTTTATTTTCCTGTATCCTAGGTGGGCTTTGTTAAACCCCATGTGGCGTAAATGCTAAAATCCTCAAGGGGGCAGCAGAGAAAGCCATTTGAACCTGAAAGCATGGCGTAGGTAGGCAGGCATCAAGTCACTGAGGGAGTAAGTCTGCTTCGCAGTCACACTTCAGAGCAGAAGATTCACATATATAGGGCTGTGGAGATCCCACTGTCTACCTCATGGTTAAGTCTGACAGTGTGCAGACTTCTCAAGCAAAGCAAAGTGCTTCATTTCTTCTCCTGTTTTGTGTTTATTGATTCATTTCTGTATGACATGGTGGGGATTCTTAGACAAAGTAGAAAGGTCTGTGCACTCGAAGGGCTTAGTGTACAATAAGGAAGAACATTTATGTATGTATACAGTATGAATATATGTGTCATATGCTTACAAAATTCTTATTTTTAATACTTTACCCATAGCCTGTTGAGTTTCAAGGCCATCAGGTGAAAGGATCAGCTACTAGTGGTGTAATGGTGAGAGGACACAGCATACAGCTAGGATACAGTCAGCTTCCAGATAGCGTTGAATATGAAAACTTCATGACATGTACTCCAGTCTGGACACCAGAGCTGCCTAGCGCTTGTGTGCAGACTGACTTCCTACAGGTAAAAGTCATTTTTATAGTTGCATTTCACCAAGTTGTTTTCCTTTACTACATTTTGTAAATCCTTATAGGAAAGGAGTCCATGGGTAAATTAGCAAGAACCATAATAGCTCAAGTCAGACTACACAAGACTCTCCTACTTTCTGACTTGTTGGCATGTTTGTAATTTTCTGATTTAACCTCCTTTCAGCAGTACCAGATTTCGAGGCTTTCTACAATTACTGGGGTAAATCAGCCTACGTATTACTAGTTTTTTCTCTAGTGAGTATGTTGGTTTGCTTTTTTTCTGTGTTTCCAAGTCTGTACTGTTTCCCACTCATCATAATATTATAATTTATGGTCACCATTGCTTGAGTTATTGAAAAAGAAACTTGTTGTGTGTAGTGGTTCTTGACTGTGAATCCCAGCATTTGAGAGCCTGAAGCAGGAAAAAAATTTGTTTGAGGCCAGGTTGGGCTGTATGGAGACTTCTAGGCAGTCAAGGAAAAAAGAACAAAAGAGGAAGAGATTTGCATACTTGTGTCCATTGCCATATTTCTAATTATTGTTATATGCTAATTATGGTCATAAGGTATGAATTCTGAGTTTGTCACAAAATGACTAGGCCTCTCAAGATAGACAGTGTCTCTCAATAAGTGTGATGGATTGCTAATATATGGTGGTCTCTGAACTTAAAGATATACTCTCTATTTCATCTCTTCAGCCTGTTTTTTGATTTTTGAGACAGTGTATCACTCAGTAGCCGGGCTGGCTTGGAACTTACATGTAGTCCAATCTAGCCTCAAGAATTTAGTGATTCTCCTGCCTCATCCTCCAGACTGCTGGGATTACAGGCATGAGCTAACATGCACACCTCTTATTCCTAATCTGTAGTTTAAAATATTTTATATGCGGGCTATTATTCAAGTAGGATAATTTTTCATTGTGGTTTTGATTTGTAAATTCTCTGTTGACAAGTGATGGTGAACATCATTTCATTTATCTGTTAGCCATTTGCATAGTCAGTATTCAACATTTGTATAATGTTTGAAGAAATTTGTTTAGAGTTTAAAATTGGCCTGACTAAATAAGTTTTAGCTCTGGCTGGGTTATCTAGAGAGACATTGTCTCAAAAAAGGAAAAGAAAAGAAAAGAAAAAAATTGAGCTATATGTGGCCGTGTACCAGGGGTACATAATGAGATTCTTGAAAGAGAAAGAGAGGTAGGGGGAAGGAATGGAGGCAGGTAAGTAGGCCTATCCCAATCATTTACCTTTTATGTCATTTCAGTTGTGGTGTTGAATTTGAGCCTTTGCTTTGCGATTGTTGACGCTAGGCCAGCTCTCTACCTCTGGGTTATCCCCCAGCACCATTTGTCACTTTCAAATCCGATTGTCTTACAGTCTCTTGTCAGATAATACTTTGACTGTACTTTTTCCATCCTGTATGTGGTCTCTGTTGTTCTCTTTTTTTTTTCTATGCAGAAAGTTTTTAGTTTCTTAGAACCCCTTTTACTAATTTTTCCTTTTATTGCCTCTATACTATTGGGTCACATCATCTCCAGAATGGAGTCTGTTATTACTGAGCCCTCCAATAAAAGGGATAGAGAAATATGTCCCATTTCATTAGCTACTTGAAGATCATGGTGACCTTGGCGAGAACAATGCAGTGAAATAGTATGCATAGTGGCCAATTGAGAGGGAATTAAAGAATGAATGAGAGATAGGAAGGTAGAATTATGGCTAACTCCTAAAAATGTATATGTCTGTCAACCATTCAACTCCCACCTTCCACCCCTTCCTTCCCCACCCAGGGCTGGGAATCAAATCAGGATTTCACACTTGCTGGGCAAGTTCTCTGTCATTGAATTATATCTCCAGGCAACAAACAGATATTTGCGTGAGCAACTGCCTACTGTCTATTGTACTGTCAAAATAGGCCTGGGAATAAAAGAGGCAAATTCTTGTCCTCATAGAACTTACATGCTAATAAAGATAAACACATAGTACCTGGAAGGACTTAGGTGCTCTGAGTAAAGTAGAGCCATGTAAGTAAAGTCAGCCGTCTCTGATAGGTGACACTGGAGTAGAGATGAGAATGCCATGCCAGTATCTGGGGGGAAAGGAATTTTTGGCAAGAGACAGTTGTCCAGTTTGTAGAATAATGTGGAGTGAGTGAGGGACAAGGAAAGTGACAGAAGTGAAGCCAGAGACCAGGCCAGAGGCCTGGTCAGGTAGGGCCGTGGAAGATACCACAAAGCAGTCTACATTGGAATAGACTGGGAACAATTAGAGGGTTTGGATCAGTGAAGAAAAAAGATTTAGCTTAATTTTTAGAAATAATTCTGGCCAGTTGTGGAAAAGGTACTAGGTAGGGGAATAGGGTGGAATACTTAAGAATTTCTTCTTTTATGTGTATGAGTATTTTGTTTGCATGTTTGTCTGTGTACATGTATGTCTTGCATGTCTGGTGCTCAGGGAAGCTAGAAGAGGTGTTGAAGTCCCTGAAACTGGATAGTTGTGAGCTGCCATATCAGTACTAGGAGCTGAAAAACAAACACTACTTTTAATTGCTATGCCATCTCTCCAGCCCCTTGTTTGGTTTTTTGAATCACAGCCTCACAGTGTAGCCCTGGCTGGCCTCACTCACTATGCAGACCAGACTGATCCTGAACTCTCAGAGCTCTGCCTGCCTCTGTCTCCAGAATGCTGAGATTAAGCGCATGCGACACTGTGTCTGACAGTTCTTTATTGTTATCTTTGCAAAGCCTAGAGTCACCTGGGAGGGGGGAACATTGATTGGGGAATTACTCAGATCAGATTGGCCTGCCTGTGGTCATATCTTTGAGGAACTGTCTTGATTGTTGATTGATGTGGGCAGTGCCATTCTTGGGCATGTGGTCCTGAGCTGTGTAAGAGCCAACAAGCCAATGAGGATTATTTCTTCAAGGTTTCTGATTCAGTTCCTGCATGAGTACTTGGCCCAGCATCCCTTAGTAATGGGCAGTTACCTGAAACTGTAAGCTGAAACAAACCATTTCCTCTCCTAAGTTGCTTTTATGTGTTTATGATAGCAACTAAAGGCAAACTAGAACAGCATCACGTATGACTGTCTTTAGGTTTTGATTTTGGGCAAAAACTGCAGCACAACTTAAAACTATTGTTCTAGTGACTGTTCAGATCTGAATATATTTAAAGAGTCCCTGCACTTGAAAAGAATATCTTAAAATGTATATCAACTATGCATAACCCGAAATCCACAAACATGAGAGAAAACTGCTCAGACCTTGTGTATGCAGAAATATGGTTTGCACACATGAGATGGAACTTGGGTTGAGCCCATTAGAATGGAAATTTACCCTCAGAACTAAGTCTTCATAATGGAATCAGTCCAAATCAGAACGCCATCCACTTCACAATAAACCTTTTGTACTTAAAATTATTGTTTATAATAATAATATAATAAGTTTTTGCTAGCCTGTCCTTTTTGGTGAAAATTCTATAGTTTTGTTCCCAATGTGCTTAGAATAGTGACTTCTGGAATAGAGGGTTCTAGAATTCAAACTAATAGGAAAGGGCGCAGTAAGAACATCTTAGTGATTTTCTTTTTTCTGGACAGGTGATTTCACCAGAACAAAAGATCTCTGCATCGAGCTCTGCACCTACTTTTTCTTTCAACACGAGAAGTGAAGACTCTGTGCTTGAGTTCTCTGAGGAATCTCTGAGAGCAAGGACTTTCCCTGGTGACCTTTGTTTTCTCTGCTGTTATCTGTGAGAGTGTTACTGGGCTAGAAGTGTCAGGGAACCCACTGTCTCTTCCCTCAGACTTTTTTCTGTTATGGATGCTGTTCCAAATGTGTTTTCCTTTCTATCTAGTTCTTGCTCCCTCCTCTACTGTCTCTTCACTGCCTCTGAAAGTCTCTACTGTCGAAGGACTTCTTGCAGCTAGACGGTGGCATGTGCCTTTAATCTCAGCACTCGGGAGGCTGAGGCAGGTGGATCTCTGAGTTCAAAGTCAGCCTTGTTTGCAAAGCTAGTTCCAGGACAGCCAGGGTAGTTACACAGAGAAACCCTATCTCGAAAACCAAACCAAAAAAACCACAGGCACCATATAAAATGCCAACACTTGGCTCCTCTTTCCTGTTGTGAAGTAGTTCATAGCAAATGTCTCATGAACACCACTGGTTGACCTTGGCGTAACTTCTTCATCTCCTGATTTTGCTTTGGGATATTGTCGGTATCAGGAACTCTTCAGTGACTGATGTCATCATTGTTCCCAGGCCTCAAGCTTTTAAATTTATTTTGACTTTTCTTATGAGTCATTTTCTCCTTCTTGAAAACTGTATTGTTTAATAGTATTGCTTCCCACTGACTTCTCTTTTTTTTTGATAATTTCATTTATGTATTTTTTCCTAGTCTGAAGTTATAAGTGATTAGTGGTTTTTTGGTTGTGAATTGATGATTAGTATGAAAAAAAATTAATGTGAATCAGTACTTGAGTTGGAGTTGACTTCATGGTTATGTCTGATTGAAGGCAGGTGAAAAAAGGGAGGGTAAGAGGAGATGTGAATGGGATGTGTGAGATGGTATTATAATCCCAGCTCTCAGGAGACAAGGCAGGAGGATCAGTACTTAAAGGCTAGCCTGGGAAGAGTTCGTATGGGGGGAATACATCCTCTGAAACAGGCATGAATCTTTAGTTCTGTAATGACGTTTTAATTTTCTGTCACTGTTACTCAATTAGGTTGTTGGATTATAACAGAACACTTCATCTAAGAATATTCATTGACTCACTTACTGCTCTCCTACTTCCCAAGTGGTCATCAGAATTTATTCCCTATAAAATAGAGACTGTCAAATAAAGTAAAAATCTACATTTTTAGATAAAGACTTTAATAGTATTCAATTCCTATGCAGTTTTGCTGATTCATTAATCTATCCAATAGATATTTATTGCTTTTTACACCTTCAGCAATGTCTCTATTCTAATAGCTGCCTCTAGAAAGAAGGAATTACAAAGCTCATTCAGACAAAATCTGACATGAGTTCACTATCCCATTTATGATTAATTTAACATAGAAAGCTAAAAATTTTTATCATGAAAGGTATCATAATTCATAAATATAATAAACAGTTGCAGTCACATCATATTAAGTGAGCTGTTAACTTTGTCCACAGAAGGAATGTGAATAGATATCAACTCATTCTGTGCTCTTTCTACTTGATAGACACTGAGCTCTGGACTCTTTTACTGCATCTGTAAAATGAGAGTGATGCAGCTTTTCTCAGATTTGAATGCTTTGAAAACTTAGAGGCTCTATAAATATGATGAATAATTAAATTAGATACTTAGTTCTGTAGAAGAAAAGAGGAGAACTTATTTGTTAGCCTTAAAAGAGTCTTCAGATGTATACATTAAGTTTTAAACCTTTAGATTTTGATATTAAAGCATTTACTTTGGGAGGGGACAATAAAATAGTGTTGTCTTCTTTTTCTATACAGCAAGTTAGAACTTTTTGCCCTTACCCATGTACCCACTGTTTTCTAGAGTCTGGGTGATGACTGGTTAAATATTCGTATTGAATCAGCTTTATGTTTTCTTTCAGGGTTGAAAAACATTGGTTTTTTGGGGAGTAATAACCTTCAAAGGTTTCCATGTGCAACCAGAGCCTCAGTTCCCTTCATTACTTTGCCTTCCGATGATGGGCCAGCGGTCTTAGATTCCTGTTCATTTATGGCTGATGACCACACACGAGAGTCCTCTGGTTCTTCTGTGTTGAACCTGTGTGAAGAATCAGCTCTTTCATTTGACCCTGGGCCTGAGGACCAGGGTGAGACTTCTCTCTGGAAAGGAACTCCAGGGGATGTTTCACTGCTTCATAAGAATTCTGTGCAAAGCAAGTGGCTGAAATATCAAAACACATTCCAGTGCAGCTCAGCTGCTCTGAACAGAATTGGCAGTGACGTGGCAGAGGACAGCTTTGCTGAGGTCAGCTCTGGGATGCATTCTAGCCACACGAGTGCGCAGCAGAGGAATGCTGCGAAGGAAAGCTCTGTAGACCCTGTGCACTTGCAGAGGATGAAAGGCATGCTCTATCAACAGCAACAGGACTTTAGCAGTCGAGAGCTGGCTTCCAGAAAGAAAGCTTTTACTCTGAACTCAAAGCAGACTTCCGAGACAGAGGAAATTCAAGCTATGTTAGGAAGCCCTGCCAGCTACAACTCCAGAGTCAACGATTTACAGGTGAGGGAAGTCTCCAAACTCTCGGTGCGTTTTCTCCGGTAGTTACTGTGTGAATTCCAGCAGAAAAAGGCGCAGATTGTTTGGAACGTTTTTCTTTTTGATCAGGTAGCTATTTGTTAAACATTTCCCAATAATTATGAATATTGAATTATGTATTTAAAAGTCTTGGGTATGCTGTTGAGCATGTAAAAGGTATTTAATAAATATAAGTTCTTATTCCTTTTTCTGTCACTCCTTTTAGTACTGAGCTCACTGTGACTTTTTATTTTTGACTATCAAATCAATTTTGCTGGTTGGATTATTAAAATAAGACACATGCCTCTATTAAAACTTGCTATAACATATTAAAATCATATTAAGAGACCAATGAGAAGAGTTAGTATTTTTAAGAGTTAAAAGTTTATACAGGCTTTATTTTGTTTTTTATTTTAGATCATAAAACAATTTTCATGGATTCTAAAATTCAAAACTACAATTAGTATTTTCTTCATTTTATATATGAAAAGCAATTTGATGGTAAATGGTGATTTTTTTTTCAGAAGATAAATGGTTCTGAGCTGTGCTTCCCAAATGGGCAGAAAATAATATCAGCTTATCTCCCTCAAAGACAAGTTTACGTACCAGCTGTTTTCCAGTCTCCCATTCACTATAAGCAGATCTTTACATCTTCCATCATAGGTATGACTGTTATATTTTTTTTCTGATGATTACCTTCTGTGAGTATTAGAACTATAAAAAAGAATAATGCTTTAAGGATTTTCATAGTAAATTTTCTTCTGGAAATTTATTTTAGAAATTATCATTTCTTTATTTGAATGTCAGATCAAAAGCTTTAAAAGTGAGAAATTGCAATATTTTTTAAATTAGGGCTTTTTATTTATTAAAATAGAAACAAATGAGTTCATTACATGTAAATGAAACCATTAAATATGACGCATGCTTAGGTCTGAATGTGTTGTATTTTTTTTCATTTTTTTCGAGACAGGGTTTCTCAATGGCTTTGGAGCCCGTCTTGGAACTAGCTCTTGTAGACCAGGCTGGCCTTGAACCCACAGAGAGATCCTCCTGTCTCTGCGTCCCAAGTGCAGGGATTAAAGGTGTGCACCACCACCGCCCAGTTTAGGTCTGAATGTTTTGTGGTATAAGAATAAAACTTGCATTTTGAAAGCTGGGTTGTTATAAGGTGTGGCAGTGCCTGTCTGTTATTCCAGCACTAGAAGACTGCAGGAGAGCGAGAGCTGGAGATCAGTTTAGACCACATAGTAAGACTGTCCCAAAACTAAAATAAAGTAAATAAATAACTGATGTGGCTGCTAAAAACACAATATTTATATGTATTGAAATGTTACAGTGAGGGACTAGAGAGATGGCTTAGCTATTAATTATGCTTTCTGCTCTTGCAGAGGACCTGTGTTCTATTACATAAGTCCAGAGTTACATGATTCACAACTATCAGTAACTCTGCTCCAGGGGAGCCAATACTCTTCTGGCCTCCTTGGGTATTGCAGTCATGTACACAAACCCACACAGACACACACACACATGAACATAATTGAAAATAACAGTTCTTAAAGAAAAAGGAATGATACAGTGAAGTCCTTTAATGTATACAGTTAATTTGCAACAATAATAAAAAGTGTGGATGACTTTCAGAGGGAGCATAACAGAATCTGATAGATAAGGGCTTAATACAATAGTATTTGCTTTGGATGGCAATGAAGCCGGGTTTTTTGGTTTTGTTTTTGTTTCAGTTTGGCAAAATTGAGACAATAATAAAGTACAAAAAGGATAGTTAGGGGGTTGTCTCAGTGGTTAAAGTACTCAGTGCTCTTGCAGAGGGCCCAGATTCTGTTCCTGACAACTACATGAAAGCACAACCTTCTGAACTATTTGACCTCTGTGATCACTGTGATACTAGGTGTGCGTATATACACACAGGCACTCACACACATAAAATAAAACAAATCTTTAAAATAATGGATGTTACAGTACTGTGTTACAGTTGATTGTTAAGAGGCTATTTTCTTTTTCTTTCTTTTCTTTTTTTTGAGGGGGGGTGGTTTGTTTTTCGAGACAGGGTTTCTCTGTAACTTTGGATCCTGTCCTGGAACTAGCTCTTGTAGACTAGGCTGGTCTTGAACCCACAGAAATCCACCTGCCTCTGCATCCCAACAGCTGGGATTAAAGGCGTGCGCCACCACTGCCTGGCAAAAGGCTATTTTCAAATTGGCTAGGAAACAGTGAAATTGATACTAATGTGAAATAATTTTGTATTTGATTTTCAGCTCTTTTTTTTTCTTGTAGAGCATCTGAATATATTGCTATTTGGTTTGGCGCAAAAGTTGTACAAAGCACTTTCCAAAGTTGACATATCCTTTTATACATCGTCAAAAGGAGAGACACTAAAAAGCGGAAAAAATAATTTACCATCCTGCCATCATAATCAACCTGCCAAACTTGTCATGGTTAAAAAAGAAGGCCCAAATAAGGTATTGCTTCTGTTCCCTCCCCACACTTACCTTATTCATAGTTTAGGTACTATGGTAACTGAGACGTGAGTTTTCTTTGTGGCATTAGTAACATAATAAGCTCTCAGTACTTTTCTAATGAAATGAATGGTCTGTGTTCCAGGATACAAAAGTAAGAATTAAAGTTAATTTTCAAAAAATTTAGGAGCTTTTTACATAGTAATGGATGGAAACTGATACAGTGAAGAAAATTGCATCTGTAAGGTAGGAAGGGTTTGCCTAAGCGCAGTGTCAGCACTGAGAAAGGGGTCTGCTTTAGGGTTTAGAAAATGCTGAGATGAGACTTAAAGAAATGAAGGTTGGAAACTGAACCAGCACTAGACAAGGCCAAGTGAGTAGAAAAGCATGCTGTCCTAATATATATTGTGGGTATCACAAAGAAGGGTTCGTAGCACATTGGTAGTTTTTACTCATTTGTAAAACTGCTTACACCTATAGTAGCAATTAAATAATTGCACTATTTGCATGTATCATTAGTTGGATATATAAATTTGACCTTAAAAATTCAAAAGCAGCCAGACAGTAGTGGCATAATGCCTTTAATCTCAGCACCCAGGAGGCAAAGATGAGTTCCAGGACAGCCAGAGTTGTTACACAGAGAAACTGCCTCAAAAAAAAAAAAGTCAAAAGGAAGAATTCATAAATAATAGCATAGCTATATAGATTGAAGTATGTAGCCACTAACATATTGTTTTCAAGATTATTTGATAGTACGTTTGTATGTTCATGCTATGTTGTTTGTTTAAAGGGTTGGGTCAAAATGCATCATTTGGTGAATTTTGTTTTACAAAATCTATGTATATGTTTGTATGTGTGTATGTGCGTATGTAGAAAGAAATGCACAGATATTGCTAGTAGTTGTTTCTGGGTCAGTGTCAAGTTGTCTAGTGAACATTTAACTGGTGAAAAATAAAATTATAATTTATTACTAATTTTTGAGTATCTGTCTGTCTATCTATCTATCTATCTATTTATCTATCTATCTATTGTCATTGTGTTTTCAAGACAGGGTTTCACTGTAGCTTTGGATCCTGTCCTGGAACTAGCTCTTGTAGACCAGGCTGGCCTCGAACTCAAAGAGATCTGCCTGCCTCTACTTCCCAAGTGCTGGGATTAAAGGCGTGCACCACCACTGCTTGACAAATTTTTAAATATATTTTGAAACAGGAGTTATTTATTTTTATTTAATGTGTATGTGTGAGTGTTTGCATATATATATATATATATATATGTGTACACCACATGTATACCTGGAGCCCGTGGAAGCCAGAGGAGAGTGCTGGATCCTCTATTCTAGGACTGGAATTACATGTAGTTATCAGTTGTCATGTGGTTGCTGGAAACCAAGTCCAGGTTCTCGGGAGGAGCAGCAAGTACTCTTAGTGCTGAGCCAACCCTCCAGTCTCTCGAATTAGGTTTTGTTTTCAGGATAATATACTCTCTTGATGAAGAGAAAATAAATGGAAAAATAGGTACTTTATAATATTAATGTATTGCTTAAATTAATAAGCGATTTGTTTTTTGAAATATATTAATAGCAAGCAGCTGTTATACTTGACAAGCACAGTGCAAAAAACGGTAGAAAAATAGAAATAGTTTTTCACGATTCTAATATGCATCCTAGGCAAATACTGTACATTAAATTCTTTATATCTTCTTCCCCCCTAGGGTCGTCTCTTTTATACATGTGATAGGCCCAAAGGTAATCAATGTAAATTTTTCAAATGGCTTGAGGAAGCAACTCCAGGACAGTTATCACAGGATGAGTCTCAGACCAACATGGTTTTTAATGATGTTAAGAGCATCGGCTCATATTTAAGAAGTCAAAAGGTACCGGTCTATGAGGAATGCCAGCTTTTGTTGAGGTATGTTTTATGGTACCATAAAATTTCCTGTAATTAGATCAGAGAATAGCAACCCTCACAGAACTCACCAACAGGTACTCTGGGGTTAGTCCCATAGTCTTTCACATGCTTGACTGTTATTCTCCTAAGCTATATTCCAAACCCATCAGTGGTTTGAAAAGAAATTGAGATGGCGTCTTAGTTAGGGTTTCTGTTGCTGAGAAGAGACCCTATGGCCATGGCAACTTTTATAAAGGAAAACATCGTGGGACATAGCAGCATGCAGACAGCTGGGGAAGGAGCTGAGGGAAGGAACTACATCTTGATCCCTCAGACAGCAGCAAGAGGTCTGAGACACTGGATATGGCTTGAGCATATATGAGACCTCAAAACCCACCCCCATGGTGACACAGTTCTTGTAATAAGACCATACCTATTCCAACGAAGCCACATCTCCTAATAGTGCCGCTCCCTCTGAGTTTATGGGGGTCAGTTACATTCAAACCACCCCAGATGGGGAAAGTATATATCAAGGAGACTACTCTCAGTCCTATAATTTTAAATGAAAGTAAGGCTTTAAAGTTATTTTGGTTCTCTCTAACTGGCAAAAGGTAGTTTGTTTTTTCCTCCCTTCCTCCCTCTCTCCTTCCTTCTCATAGTTAGTCACAAACCTAAGAGAAACCCTATTTATAAAACCACAATAATAATTCTTTAACAGTACAGGAATAGGTTGTTCCCAAGCCTGAATAATAGAGCTGATAGGATGAAAGTGGGCTTGATAACAATGAAGCATAATGACAGTTTGCATGGAAATTTAATAACTTATTGCAGGCTTATAGATGCCTGGGTCTTTCCCAAGGATTTTGTATATATTATTTGCTCATAACAATAATGTATAAGATGATAGTAATTAAGATTATTATTTTAATTTTGCAGCTATATAAACTTAGATGGTCTAGTTTCTAAATACTTTTTCTGTTCGATGATGATGATGATGATTTTGGTTTTTCGAGACGATGTTTCTCGTGTAATAGCTCTAGCTGTCGTAGAACTCTCTTTGTAGAACAGGCTGGCCTTGACCTCTGCCTCCTCAGTCCTGGGATTAAAGGAATACACCACCTCTGCCTGGCTTTGATGATGATGATGATGATGATGATGATGAT